GAACTTCAAAATATTAGCAGCAGATACTGAGGAGCAAAAATAGACCATTAGTGTTATTTAGGTATTGTCTAACTACATGAGCCAAGTTCTGGCAGATACTCCCAGCAAACAGCTGTGTTGGTTTAATATGTTATCAGCCAATAGACATTTGTTTTTCCATGTTTGCTGGAAGCTATTGCCGCTCCCCAAAGCTGGATATCTTCATGTGAATAGTCCATAATCTTCCTCAGCCCAAATCAGGCAGCGTTAACATGAACAATTTCAAGATGCCGTTTGAGCTAACACAGATGATTTTGCCTGAGGTAGAACAGGGGCACCAAAGTGCTCTCCTCTAGAGATCTGGGGTAGTAACCCCAGTAATTTCTTTGGGGAAGGAAAAACTTTTCTTCCTGCACCTTTTTTCACATTTATTTCTTCAAAAGCTCGTTAGGAAGTGAATGCACAGGCAAATATGTTCTTCACTACAGATCAAAATTATCTAATTTGTTTAAAGTGTCTAAGCACTGAAGTGTTTAAATATTGAAAAGACATACTTTGTGAAGCTAATTAAAATATTTTATTATCCCCAATTGAAATGGTATTTCAAATTTTAGTTGTTCTTGTATAAGATGTTGCCTTGAAACCATTTCTTTAAAGTAGATATGGTAACTTTTTTGTTTTTATCTTTTCATTTCCACTCAAACAAATCAGTTTATCACATAGCACATGGCTTATTCTAAATGAATAATACACTGCCTATTTTACTTTTTGTGTTATATAAGTCTTCCTGATTTTTCAGCATTTGAGTTATACGTGCTAAATCTCCCATATTCTCAAACTTAATGGAACACATTTAACGGAACATGTAACTAAGTACCCATCTGTCTCTGGGACTTACTTATTTAGATGTTCCTAAGATATGCTGAAACAGCATTTGTTGCCCCGTGCCAGAGAGCAAGCCCTCGTCCCCCAGGCCAGCTAGTACTTACTGGCTTGCAGCGTTATTGTACATATAGTGCAGGACCCGGAGCAAACTGTTTTCTGAGTAGAACAGAAATTTGAGCAGCCACTATCAAATTGCACTTGGATGTTAGCAGCACTGCGCACAGATGATGAGTTCTGAAGAACGTGTGAACACAGAGGTTTTGCAATCTGCCCACAGTTCGTAGCTACTTTAATAAAGCCTCATATAATGAGTGACTAATCTCTTCTGCTTAAATTTAATATTCCTTGCAACAAGGCTAAATTTGTGAATATCTAGATGGGGGATATTTATTTTTCACATAAAAAGACTTTATGGATGAAAGAGGAACCTTTGGCTCCCTACTAATGAGTGTACAGTTAAGAAAATGCACTGACAAATCCATCCCAGATGAAGCCCTTTATATTGTTGCATTAGAAAAATATTAGTTTCCTCTACTTTTTTTCCCTATTCACTGCTGCTATGCTCCCCCTCTTCCTACCAATATTTACATAAAACGGCCTTAAGACAGAGGCAAACACTGAGAGGACAGCAGGCAGGAGACAAGGGGAAAAGGAACAGATCCAGGCAGTGATAATTCTCTGCCCTGGGTGCGTAAGTTAGTGCTCCTGCCCCTGCTTTACAGCCTCTGAAGGAAGATGAGGAAAAATTAGCTCCCTGCTCTTCTGGCCACTAGTACCTATTAAAGCATGAGCTCCCTCTCAGGGTTCCTACGCTCTTTCAATTTTTTAAGCTCTTTCAACAATGCACTTTTCTCTTGGCTTCTTTATCCCAGTCTCTTCTATGCAGAAAATAAACACTCGTATAAACACTTCAGCTCCTATATATTTGAAGATCAGAAGGTATTTTATGACTGTCTCTTAGTTCTGCTGTTATTCAATACGCATATTAAAGAATTGGCTGTGCAATATACAGAACCATTATTAAACATGCAGGTGATACCAGGCAGGAATGGGATGGAGTTACTCTGAAGGATAGAATTAGAAGTGGAGAAACTATTAGAAACAACCAGACTGTATTTTAGCAAGATCAAGAGGCAAGACTGAGGGGAAAAGTATTCTGCTTATGGAGAAATAATGATAGAAGAATAAGATGGGAAATGATTGGTCGGGCTGCAGTTCCACCGAAGACGATCTGGAGCTTACAATGTCTCACAAATAGAGCACAAGATAACCCATCATTCAGCAGGGAAAAAATGAAGTTCGTATTGAGAGAAGCTGACAGAAAAGTTGCAACGTAAAACATATGAAATGACAGTGTGGCAAGGCCTCAGCTAAAGCGTTAAGATCAAGATCCAGGACACACTTCCATAAAACTGCAGAAAGTCAAGAAAAAGAACAGAATAATCAGAAGTCTGAGAAACAAAATGTGTGGTGTGAATTGGATATAATTGGTGTTTGTTTAGTCTAGTAAATAGAATATATGCGAGGAGGGGTGGTTAGCATTTTGTACCATGAAAATGACTGCAGTAAAAAAGGAAGGCAATGAACAATTCCCCATGCTTATTGTGGACATAACAAGAAGCAACAGGCTTACAGTACAGTAAAGGGAAAACTTTATTATTGTAAGGTTGCCTAAACACTTAAATAGGTTACTTATAGAAGCTGTAGAAAATTTAGAAGCTTGGAAAATTTTTAAGAACTAGTTAAGCACATACCCTTCACGGATAGATTACATGCAGCTGCATCTGCTTTGAGGCAGACAAGTACTGTAGATGACCTTCTGATGTCCCTTTCACTTCTATTGTTTATAATCTTGTGCACTGAAGATTTTATCAACAAATACATTGGTTAACTTGTAGAGGAATATTAGAATTGTGTTGATCTTCAGTCTATAGTTGGAAGAACAAATGCTGTCATAAAGAGTTCCTTACAGTATTTTTCTTTAATGGCATTGAAAGAATCTTTATTTGGATTCAGATTCAACAGAGAAGATTCTCAGCATTATTTTTTTAATCACCCTTTCAAGGACCTTCCAAAGCAATTTTGACCCACATGCTGTTTTAGCCATCCTGTTCCTTCTTCATTCTTTGCAGTCTACCATGTCAGCCATATAGAATTACTTTTACTTGTACATCTTCCGAAGAAACCACACAATCTCTTCTATGCATCTGTCATGCTAATGCTGCTTCTGCATTCCTACAACAGACATTTTCACATCTCACATCAACGGTTTGGTTCATTCCGTTTTCTCATTTGGGCTGCTTTCCTCACTGTGCAAACATTACAGTTTGTGGGATCATACCTACTTTCCCAGGAAGCCTGGTTACAGTTCTTTCACTGTCTACATCACTACCCAACCTCTGCTCACAGGGAAACCAGCACTTTCTTTTTCTTTGCCATTCATACTTCAACTGCTAG